ATTAAGAGATCTATGCGAGGTCAAAACTGTTGTCCAGCCTGGATGTGATAGTCTTTTTGGAGGCAAGGTTAGGTCATCCTGGGGTCTTATTAACTAGGCACCTGAAGCGGCCCAGGGCAACTAAGTTCTTATTCAAGAATATTTAAATTAGTCTTTTAGCATATTATGTCCCACAAATTATGAATCTTATAAATCTTATGATGAATTATGAATCTTGTGGTTATCCTCGATACTGTATTCTAGTAAACTTTGAAAATATATTTTTCCCTTAACCCTTGTATTCTCACTTCCTTCCGTTTCTTGGCACTCATTTCCCGTGATCTGTTTAATTTAACCGAGTGATTGATATCTTGTATCATCTATGTTCATTCATCTACTGCATGAACCTCACAAACTTTTTATCGCTTGCTCACAAGCCGAATGTTTCATTGCATCAATCAATTATAGTTCTGTTTGAAATCGATTCCCATTGCTCTTAAAATAATGGCCATGCATTCTGAGTTCTATCCTTCATCCTTTCTAAGATTTTTAGCGGATTTTTTGGCGCCACATCTCATTTGTCCGTAAAAACAAAAAAATGCACATATTCACATGTTCATAAATGCTCTTGCTCTCTACAACGTTTAAAACAAAAATATATACAAGCACGCATCACCTTTACCAATCAATGTAAAACGTCCATTTGCTTTTATCCCTCTTCATTAGAGCATCGTCTGCTTAAACTATGAAACTAGCCCGTTACTTGAATATAAACATAATGAATTGTATAAACATTCGTTCGCATAAGCGAAAATTCCCCATCATCCATATACTGGTATGACCCCGTAGTTCCCCAATCATTGACCTGTTTTCATGCTCGTAACTAAGCCTATCCTTATCTTCATGTCATTGCCAGAGAATGTCATGGACGCAATAATACAAACTCAATCATCACTGGACTTCCTTCCTGATTCCACGACCTACTGATAGTCTAAATTATTCTTGCATTAATTTCAATCATTTCCTATCCCCGTCTTACATAAGCGAAGAATTTTCGGTCTCCTTTCCCATCATCTCATCTCCCCTACCTCCTTTCATATTCTCAGCATATGAAATATCCTTTCGTCGGCTGATATTCTCTTTTTTCGCTTTATTTATCTCGCATTGCGTTTATTCCGGACGAATTTCCGCCTCACACAGACTCTGGCTTGTACTTTCGCCACTACCCAAGCATACGCCTCGTTGACAAGAGGCGACGCTTTCTCTATTACACCGAGTGATCGGTTGTCTGATAGCCGATTTTCGTCTGCCTATCACGATCTATCTGGTCTTGCAGCAACCTTGCCGCGATACCACGAATTGACGCCGTCAGGACTGCTTCTGTCACCGGTCAGGAAGCAAACTTTTCAGGAGGAGGTCGATACCAACACTCAGGCACAGATACGAACCATGACTGGAGCTCAGATGAAAGCAGAAGACATCAGACCGCTGTTTGGCGCGCTGGTCGTGAAGCCTGGGGACCTACGCCAAGATGGAGAGGGACAAGGTCAGGAGAGTGAAGCGGTGGATGGGCGATGGAAGGAGGGAGCTGT